TATAAATGTTACATGATAATTGTTATTGGACAGTTAACATTTTAATCCACTTTTCTTTTTGCACTCTGTTGGTTTTATAACGTTAAAAACCATTTTTCTCGGAACTCATTGATCGACAGTACTTTTTTTTAGATTTACTTTTGGTTTATATTGAGTTTACAATGTTTAAAACCAAAGTTTCACAGACTTCGTTCCTAGACAGTTAAAAGTTTCTCGTAGTTTTCTTTTTGGCCTTTACTGTGTATATTATACTCATAAACAATATTTCGTGAATTCTGTTGTTCGATAGAAACCTGTTTCTTACAGTCTTTTGTTTGTTCTGTGGTGATTTTTACAAAGTTTAAAAATATTTTTATCTCGAAATTCTTTGCCGGAAAGTTACCAGTTTATTACATTTTTTTCATTTGCTTGTGTTTAGTCTACAACCAATTTTTGGCGAAAATAGTTTTTGTAGAATTACCGATATTTAATATTTTCCATTTAGCGTTTGTTTATGTTATAACGTTTCAGAACAATGTTCGCGAAGTTCAATGCTAGTTAGTTATACTGTTCCTCGGTGAGTCAGCGGTAAGTTTACGGACTTACAATTTGTTTGTAGTTATACACAAAGCTACACAATGAGCTATCTGTGCTCTGCCCCCCGGGGGAATCGATACCCGGTTTCTAGCGTTGTAAGTCCGCAGACATGCCGCTGTGCCACTGGGAGGCCAGACATACAACGCTAAAAGCCAGAGTTCGATTTCCGACGGTGAACAGAATGTAGACAATCCATTGTGTAACTTCGCATTAATAAAACAACAACAACAAAAAATCTAATTAGTTTTTCTTTTGGACGATTGAAAGCCACATCTTGCGAGGATCATTGCTGAACTGTCACCAATTTCACAATGTTTTTTGCTTTTGGCCTTAGTTAAGCTTGTAATTTTTAAGGATAATGTTTTCCAATGTTCGTTGTTGGACAGTTACTAGTTTCTTACGTTTTGCTTTTGGCCTTAGTTAAGCTTGTAATTTTTAAGGATAATGTTTTCCAATGTTCGTTGTTGGACAGTTACTAGTTTCTTACGTTTTGCTTTTGGCCAGTTTTAAGTCTGTAAATGCGTAATCGATGTTTGTCCTAGATCGGTCTTTAAGGTTTAATCCTTTTTTACAAATTTTCTCTTCGCTTATCTTAAATTACAACAGTTAAAAACAAAGTTTTGTGCAGTTCGTTCTCGTACAGCAACCAGTTTATCAGAGTTTTCGTATGTGTTGAGTTTGTAACACAATGTATCGTAAGGTCCGTTGTTGAACATTGATAAGTTACTTTCTGTTTTTCACTTGTGTTGAATTTTGAAAAGTTTAAAACAAAGTTTCACAAAGTTCATTGTTGAATAAACAACTGTTCACAGTTTTATTTACGGCCCGTGTTGAGTTTATACATGTAGTGTCTAACTATATTTTTCTTACGAAATTCATTGTTGAGCAGTCACTAGATAGGCTGTAGAAAGTTTTCGATTTAAAAACAATGTGTTTCACGAATATCATTCTTGGATTATTGTAGATTTCTAAAACTTTCCCTTTTGGCGTAAGGTGCGTTTACAGCGTAAAAGTAAAACGTTTCGCAAAATTTGTTGCGTGACAGTAACCATTTTTTGCAGTTTTTCTTTTTATCTCTGCCAAATTTATGGTGTTTCAATCAAATTTCTGCAAATTTCGTTATTCGAAAGAACCAAGCTTCCTTTGGACTTGGGACAACTTTACATTGTTCAATTATAATGTTTCGCGAAGTTCCTTGTTTGCTAATTATCAAAGTGCTATGTTGAATTTTAAACATTTATAAACAGTGTTTCGTAAAATGCGTTTTTGGACTGTCACCAGGTTCTAGCAGTTTTCATTTTAGCTTTCGCTCAGTTTTTTAGATTTAATGACAGTCTTTTGCAAAGTTCGTTGTTGGTCAGTTTCTTAAAGTTTAGCTTTTGGCCTGTTTTATGTTTTTAAAATTTAAAAACAATATTCTTCCTCAATCATTGTTTAACATTTACCTGTTTCTTGCATTTTTTTTTTACATTTATTGAATTTTGTACATTTAAAAATAAATTATCGTGAAGTTCATTTTCGGACAGTCACCAGTCCTCACAGTTTTTTCTTTTCACCTGTTCTGAGATTGCAGGGTTGAAAAACAATGTTTCTCGAAGTTCATTGTTGGATAACCAGTTCGTTTTCAAAGTTTATCTTATTTGAGGCTGTATTAGGTTTTCAATTTGTAAAAAATGTTTCGCGAATTTTGTTGTTCAACAATAAGCAGTATTCAACAACTTTCGTTTTTCCCCTAAGTTGACTTTACAGAGTTTAAGAACAATGTTTCAAAAAAATTCGATCTTACATTGTCATAAATTTCTCAGGGTTTTCTTTTTGGCGTAAGGTGCGTTTACAACTTTCAGAGACAATGCTTCAAGAAGTACGTTGTTGGACAGTTACTAGTTACTAACATTTTAGTGTTTGACATGTGTTATGTTTACAAAGTTTAAAAACGAACCTTTGCGAAGTTCATTCTTGGATAACAACCTTTTCTCCACAGTTTTGATTTTTTCTTTTTTTGTCTATGTAGAATTTACGGCATTATAACCGAAGTTTTGCAAAGTTGGATAGCTATTGGACTTTTTTATAAAAACAAAATTATCTTAGGGCCTCCTATAAATATGAATAATTGCCACCTCACCAACCACTGGCGTCTTGGTTATATTCACTTCACTTCTACTAATTTAAGTTTTGAAATATAACTTTAGCAACTCCACTTTCCTTATTGATTTTGTTATAAAAATTGAGTATAGCTTTTTTATGTTGATTTTAGAAAAACAAAAATAAAATAAAATGTGTGGCTTATAATGTTACTCACAATAGTTTACTTATCTAATTCATGCAAGTGATTTCTTTTGAAATATAACCATTAAACGTATATTTTTCAAGAAAAAATTAAATATTTCATATAAGTTCATAATTAGGTAAGTAATATAGTTTCATAATTAAAAATCTCTAATTTTTTTGTATAAGATCCATGAAAATATTATTATACTGATATCTGTCAAATTCCTGTTTGATCTCTTACTAATTACATGATTATCTCATACCATTTAATCATTTAAACCATTATTCAGGTAGGATTGAATTAAAATAATCCAAGCTCTTACCTCGTGTATGTTAGCTTGAGAATTTGTTAAACATTCATTTAAACTTCTCCTCATCTTAAGTAAATGTATTTTGCTTCACACAGTTAAGGTATTTATTAAATTGAAGAGATAAACATAGAAGTCTCATTAGGAATGTAAGGGCAGCGGCGATTTTTAGAATATCACTTGTTTCCGACGTTATGCTATTTTCAGAGTACCTAAGACTGTTATTTAGCTGTAGTTTAAATTTTAGTAAAAAACAAAACAAACATTAATGCTTAGCTAATGCGAATCCTTTCCACTCTTATAATTTACATTATATAACAAATATTAGTGAAAGGTAAAGTGTCTCAAGTAAATTATATATATAGGTGGAAGCACTGCAGATCATTGATTACAAACCACAATCTTTAAGTTCATTCGTAAATAACAAATAACAATAATTATGAATAGGGTAATCACGTGATCAAGGAAGAATAACAAAAAAAAAGAAGAAAGATGTGGTTATTATCATATTATCGGAGTATGTAGTCAAATTAATTTGAGCTTTTCTAGTTCAAAGTTGTTTAACATAGCGAAGTCAAGCATAATTATAAGGTGCTAACAGTGAGAACTAAACTTTACCACAAGAAAAATAAAAACAGTAATAATAACAAAAATGTGATTAGCGTGAAATAATAGATATTTGTAATTCGATAAGCAACAAGAATCCGATAAGATAAAAAATGATATTTAGATTTGTATTTTAATACTGATAATAACAATAACTTCATTAGTAGGAAACTAATAACACAGCTCCATTTATCAAATAATAATAACTCGTTATCTTGTATTAATTATTATTTATCAAATAACAAAAACTTGATTAGCGTGGATGTATTTTAACAACAATAAATCGAGGAGCATAAGCTAATAATTAGATTGCTTTCTGGCAAAATAACAATAACTCGATTAGCACAAACTATCCTTCTGTAGAATAAAAGTAATCTGGTATGTCAGACAAACTCATCTGCGTATATGGTATTAGTAATATATTTTGCTGGTGAACTGCGTAAGTAGAATCCTAGGTCAGAAATGTAACTGAAAACGAAACACAAAATCGTGAGGTTAAATTTAGCCAATTCATTTCTGGTTTCGTTTTTTTTTTATATATATATTTTACAGCTCAGTATGATAGACTGGTTACATTTAAATCAACAGAATATTACATTATTTGTGAAGGTATGAATTACAACATGCCTAAAAGTATGTAAGATAAATTAGCCTTACGAGATTAATTGTTTCAATTGTAAATCTTTAATGTTTTTTTCACTTTAGACGACAGTAACCTCAAGTGTGTCATATAGGTATTCAACATTATGTATTGTAAGTGTATGTATCTCTCACTTGTAACCTAATGAAACGATTGATTATTTATGTCTTAACAATCTGTATACCAACAAGAAAGAAAGGTAAGGTTTTAAGTGTGCAACTGTTCGTTTATCGTGTTTCCTGTATGACAAATTTAACTATTTTTTTATTGTATAACAGTCATATCAGCTTGAATTAATTAAAATAATTTTGTTTAATGCCGTGATACATGAAACTGTAGATAACTATCTTAAAATATTTCAAGATAGGAATTGTTTTTTTTATAAGAATAAGAATGTTTTTGTTGTTTTCATATTAAATAGTTCCATGGTATCACCTCATAATCAAATTGTTTTAAGTAAAAAACATGTTTGTTGGTCCAAAGTAATTTAAGTAGTATAAAAAATTACTGAATACAAGTTTATAAAATATAAAGTGCCTATTTTACGATGTTGTGATTTCGTAACTTTGAATAAGGTTAAGAAGTACCTTGTAACCATTTTAAGCATATAAAAGTGATTTAGGTTTAGAATACTAACCAATATGATTCCTTCCAGTGAGGGTGTAGAGAAATGCCAGCAGTGGTCAGACAACACCACTCAGCAGATAGACTTAGCGCTAAATATATTTTTTATGGTCTACTTTTTTATACGTGTAAGTATATAAGTGTTGTTGTTGTTTTTTGTACATACTACAGATAAATTTATATGGTATGTTTGTTGACTTTAATGGTTTTTCTATGGCAATTTTGGAAAATAAACTATTAGAAATAGTATCTTTTAAAACACATTTTACTTCTTTAATATATTGTTGTTTATTTAAGTAGTTAACATGAAAAACGTCTTGATTAAATTATTAATATGCATACAATTATTTCATGTGTGATCTAGTTTAAGAAATTTTACAGATTTCATCTTTAACATATTGGTTTAATCGTCTGCCATAATTTCACAGATTGATTTCTTTACGTTTAACTCAATACACTTTCAGCCTAGATATTCCCCTTATTCGTGAATCCCTAAAAAATGGACGACCTCTTGTGGCGATTCTATTCTCTATAAATCCAGTGAATGATTAAAATAACAAACCACATAATGTATAAAATACAAACATTTTGTGAATTATATACATACGTATATGGATGCTGTGGCGTATGACTTTTCAATCTGTTCCAGTAAAAATTCATCAATATTTAAAATATTATTGTCATGAAAAGATAATATATAAAATTTAATCCAGAAACCAAGAGCTTCCAGGACCTTAAAACCCTGAAACCGTGTAATGACTGAGCCTATAGTGCACATTTCCTCGCTTTTCTCCATCAAATAAACTTTGCGCCCAATTTTTAATTTGCCTCCTACACCTCTGGTATGTATAGAATAGAAGACGTAAATATTCAATCTTATTAAATGACCCAAGTATCACACACTTTGGTTATACATTAGGCCTAAATCACAAATAATTATGTATTTAGTTTCACGGCTGTATTCTTGTAAAATTAACATAATAATTCTATATACTCGTCATACTAACATAATAGTAAACTGACAGACAACGATTTATAACCATAATGAACTGGTTTTATTTTGTGGGGAACATACTACATGTGTCAAAACATATAGCTTATCCCAAAAAAATAAAACCACCTCATCATGCTTATAAATAGTTGTCTGTCGATTTATTATTAGTTCATTGTACGTTGAAATGCCAGTTATGAATATCACATCTATTTTATTTTCAAAATGTAATTGTGAACAAATAATCTGCTGTGTTTTCAGTCAGTCAGTTTTCAGTCAGATATAAACACAACTTCCATTACTAAAATATAGACTTACAAATGATAACACCCTAAGGCCTTCGACAGGCAGCTCAGTCTTCTTCTTCAGGTATAGAGGCAGAATAGTGAAATGGGGTATAGATACATGTAGCTAGATAGTTGTGGATCAAAGTCAGGTACTAGTTACATAGTTGTGGATCAGAGTCAGGTACTAGTTACATAGTTGTGGATCAGAGTCAGGTACTAGTTACATAGGTGTAGATCAGAGTCAGGTACTAGTTACATAGTTGTGGATCAGAGTCAGGTACTAGTTACATAGGTGTAGATCAGAGTCAGGTACTAGTTACATAGGTGTAGATCAGAGTCAGGTATTAGTTACATAGGTGTAGATCAGAGTCAGGTACTAGTTACATAGGTGTGGGTCAGAGTCAGGTACTAGTTACATAGGTGTGGATCAGAGTCAGGTACTAGTTACATAGTTGTGGATCAAAGTCAGGTATTAGTTACATGGGTGTGGGTCAGAATCAGGTATTTGTTACATGAGTGTGGTCAAAGTCAACTATTAGTTACACGAGTGTGGTCAAAGTCAAGTATTAGTTACACGAGTCTGGATCAAAGTCAGGTATTTTTACATGGGTGTTGGTCAGATTCAGGTATTAGTTACATAGGTGTGGATCAGAGTCAGGTATTAGTTACATGGATGTGGATCAGAGTCAGGCATTTGTTAAATGGGTGTAGATCAGAGTCAGATATTAGTTACACGGGTCTGGATCAGAGTCGGGTATTAGTTACACGAGTCTGGATCAGAGTCAGGTACTAGTTACATAGGTGTGGATCAGAGTCAGGTATTAGTTACATAGGTGTGGATCAGATTCAGGTATTAGTTACATGGATGTGGATCAGAGTCAGGCATTTGTTAAATGGGTGTAGATCAGAGTCAGATATTAGTTACACGGGTCTGGATCAGAGTCGGGTATTAGTTACACGGGTCTGGATCAGAGTCAGGTATTTTTTACATGGGTGTAGATCAGAGTCAGGTATTAGTCACATGGATCAGAGTCAGGTATTTGTTACATTGGTGAGGGTCAATGTCAGATATTAATTACATGTATAAAGAACAATTTGAATGATAAAGACAATACTAAGAAAATATGATAACCTATTTTACAAATATTATTCATTATATGCATATTATTATTATTATTACTTTGTATTGTATTTTATTCAATGGAGAATGAAAAATACTACAAAATTAAAAACAAGCTTGGAATATTGTCATGTGGAAGTTGGTTTCCCCCTGTCTTATGAAGAGAAACAGTCAATGCCCAGTGAAAATATTTTAATTCCTCAACGTCCCACCTTGCGGCTTTATCAAGAGGTAGACACCCTTGACTAGGCTTGTGTTCAGTAGGATGCCTACTTCCTGATAAAACCGTAAGGTGAAACGTCGAGGAATTACAAAATTTTCTTTGGGCGCTGACTGTTTCTCTTCATAAAACATGTTTACTCTCCCGCGTGCTGTACGCTACCTGAATTCTTCAAGGTTGACACCTGTTGCACATTTTAAGGGACCCTTCAGTAGTAAAATTCAGAGTTCCGATTCAAATAAGAACGGAAAGTGATTTTTTTACTTATTTTGCCTATGGCACATCATTGTTTTCTCATAAAACTTTAGTGTTATGACTTAATATCTCCTTCACCCGTAGCATAGTCTCGTTAATAAAGGTGAAGAAGATTAAACAATCAGCAAACAGCTACTGAATTTTTTCTCGCAATTTAGGTAATTGAACTTTATTTAAATTTTAACGTTCAACTATATAATTTAAATACAACTGATTTTATAAGATCTATAATGAAAAGAATGGGTAGAAATAAAATGATTGTTAAATATACGGAAGAAGCGAATTATTATTGATATGTTACTGAATATAAAAGCTGTAAAACAAATAATACATGATATGTTACTGAATATAAAAGGTGTAAAACAAATAATACATAATATGTTACTGAATATAAAAAGTATAAACAAATAATACATGATATGTTACTGAATATAAAAGGTGTAAAACAAATAATACATGATATGTTACTGAATATAAAAAGTGTAAAACAAATAATACACGATATGTTACTGAATATAAAAGGTGTAAAACAAATAATACATGATATGTTACTGAATATAAACGGTATAAAACAAATAACACACGATATGTTACTGAATATAAAAGGTGTAAAACAAATAACACATGATATGTTACTAAATATAAAAGGTGTGAAACAAATAATACATGATATGTTACTGAATATAAACGGTGTAAAACAAATAACACACGATATGTTACTGAATATAAAAGGTGTAAAACAAATAATACATGATATGTTACTGAATATAAAAAGTATAAACAAATAATACATGATATGTTACTGAATATAAAAAGTATAAAACAAATAATACATGATATGTTACTGAATATAAAAGGTGTAAAACAAATAATACATGATATGTTACTAAATATAAAAGGTGTAAAACAAATAATACATGATATGTTACTGAATATAAAAGGTGTAAAACAAATAATACATGATATGTTACTGAATATAAAAGGTGTAAAACAAATAACACAAACAGATAGCGACTAGTGTTTCCCATAACACATAAAGTTATCCACATCTACATAAGTAGCATGTGACATTGTCCCACACCCAATCAGATTTACTCCCTGTTTTCAACTTATGTTCACACTTACACTACATTTCACCATTCTGCCTTTACCCCTAAGGAATACGGGTCTACCTGTCGAAAGTGTTATTGTTTTATTTATTTATTTATTTCTACTAGCAAGAACAATATTGAAATATATCAGTAGCGTCGAAAAATACGAAATACAGAAGATTATGTGAATATAATTTGAGCTTTTTGTCTAATATAATGAGAAGACAGGAATTGCTGTAGAATGTTATAAGCACCATATTGTGTACACATCATTATCAATAAACGCCGTATTTGCAATGTATTAATTACAGTACAATTAAATGTGGTTGTTTGTACGTATCAGTTACATTACAAGCTATATTGCATATGTATTAGTTTCTGTACAAGCTGGTATTGTGTACATATTAATCACAGTAAAAGCTCGTATTGCATTAATATTATTTATAGTAAAATCAAGAACTGTCATTTTACTCAAATAATAGCGCATTTAACGACAAAACCAAAAGCATGCAATTACATTACAAGTACCGTGACACCGCAAAGATAAATACGTTGAAATCTTAATTTTCAATGTTGAATTACAGGACTGGTAAATTACAAAGGCTTCCGAAACTTCTTACTCTACGCAAGGCAATATTTAGAGATTAGGATTTATACAGAGTCAGATACAGCTTATTGACTGTCTTGGATATCCTTTAAAGTTCACGTCAGTTTAATATGACGTGAAAGCATCAGCATTTGATCGAACACTGTGCTTTCATTTAGTAAAACAATATATTGTTTATCTAAAGTGTCTCATATGTTTACATACTATTTTGGAACGTTGTAGGAAGAGTTTTAATCGATGCCACAGATATAGCGACCCAAATATTGGTTGATTTTGTAATCCGATTCATTTTGTTAATATTGTATTAGGCTACATCAAAACTATAAAACAACGACACCTAAAGATGCAGAAGTGTAAACAAAATGTGTCATGAAACTGAAGGTCTTTACTTCTAGTTAACATAAAAGTGAACAATCAATATTTTTATTTTTTACTGTATAACATCTATAATCAAATAAAGCAGATTTCTCAAACTATGAGAGTATCGATACGTTTGAACCCATTAGAAAACAGTTCATATTACATATGTAAACAATATCAAAATTACCTTCATCTTGAACTGAATTGTATAATTGAATTTGAATGCCTGTAAAAGATGCAAGCTGAGTTGTTCGGTGAAGTAATGATATTTAGTGGTTTTGCCACCAGTTAGAAGGTGGATACTCCAGTAAGAACTAAAGATCCTAGAGATACTACTTGATGAAGAGCTAACGCCCTATGACTCACAACTTTATAAATCTGTTTTACGAATATAAAAAAAAGAAATATTTCAAACCAGAAAAAATGTCTATTTAGATGTATGTAATTAAATCTAGACCGATACTTTTGATCAAACCGTGAACTTTTTATAAAACATATTATAAAAACAGATGGCAAATAAACAAAAATACAAATACTTAGATAAAAATGGATATATTTTCAAGCTTCAAACTACTTATTTCGAGAGATTATTGACGCTCTCTCAGCTCCAGTTGGGCCAAGAAGAAACGAACTGAAATTCCCAGAAATTAGCCTTAGCCAAATGTAATTAACAAACCTGTATCTTCCAGTTTATAGCTGCGAGCGACAAGCTGTGGTTTATGCTTGAGCTGTACTCTTTTGTTGACTACTTCACCATTCCGCCGTCCTTTGTCTCTATTTACCTCGACCGTACATGGATAGGTAAGTATTAGTTTACTTCTATCATTGAAGGCATTTTAATGCTAAGCTACAAAGAACAGTGCAAGACGTAATTTAGTTACTGTTTTCTTTTTTTTTTTTTCAATTGACATGCGCACAAGAAAGAAACAAAGTAATTAGCTTGTGCATTCGGAATTATTTATAAGAGATTCAAAGAGTTCCTCTGCGTACTTAAGGTCTTAATTCCAATAGACAACCGTCAATCAGCAAAGTTCTTGAGTGAACGAATCTGTTTCTATCTTTAAGCCGGAAATTATTACTCAGACTTTCAATGACCACAATATAGATTATTTGGGCTTTAAATTATCTCTTCTTACGCAATTCGGTCTGTCATTAACTAAGTTTATATTATTGGCAAACTTGAATTAATATAAGAACAGTATTTTAATATATAAGCCCATACGCGATGTAAACAATTTCAAAATCATCTTTAGGTAAAATGATTATGCGAAACACTTGACATCCTAATTTTTTCCAGTCCTCAAACAATTTCATACGGATAGTGAGCCAATCCGAGTTGGCAAATGAAAACAAAAACGTTAATAAACGTTCTAAAATTTAAGTACGATATTTATAAGTAAAAATACACTTGTTGTTTTTCAGTGGCTTTGAGCACGCTTTACAAGAATTAGCATGAATCTCACTTTTTTCCTTTCATGGTTTACATTTTTAATACTGTGGATTCTAATTAATTTAAAGTTTCTTGACAAATGCTTCTTAGAATTTTGTGCTTAAGTTACAAACCAAAACAATGTTACTATTTTTAAAGTGTCCAGTTTCTATAAAACCCCACTAGATGTCGTCTCGTGTTTTTTATGTTTTAGGATGTTATTCTAAAAATCTAAAGTATTCGTTCTACACAATACCTTTAACAACTTAACAATATAATTTTTGTCTCACAGGGTAAACGTAACACCGTTAAACACGTTTTATCCCACGTTAGATGTCAGTATGTCTGTTTCAGATATTCGAGCAAGGGCTAACTGCGCTAGCCGTCCCAAATTTTGAGCTAATAGACAATTGGGAAGGCAGCTATTTTGCAGCATCCACCGCCAACTCTTTAGCAACTCTAATCGACTAGTGGTATTTGATAGCCACTCTTAAAGTAACGCATCGACAGTCTCAAAGTGTAGAGCGCCATTTTGTGACAACGAAAATCAAACTATAGACATTATCTGGGAAACTTATCCATTAGACTTAAAATATCAATAAAAGTTAAATAGTAGTATATTATAATGTAAGAAAAACTGCAACGTTATTAAATTAGATGCAACTAAAACACTAGCGCTAACTCATTGAAGTGTTAATAAAGCTTCAATATTAATACATCGATATGATATTAATGTTCCAATATTATAACATTAGCACATCGAAAATATACTAAAGTTTCAGTATTAAACACATTAGAATGGTAGTTAAGCTCCATTATGATGTTACTTATGTTATTAAAGTTCCATTATTAACACACTACAATGACACTAAAGCTCCACTATTAATTAACACAGCAGAATGATACTGAACTTCTAACATATTTTCAGCCTACTCAACTTAATGAAGTGAACTAATAGCAAAAAATAATGAAAGCATAAGACCTCTCCTCTTCTGTTCTTAACATAAATGTTAAGTTTTTATATATAAATTCCGGAGTTCGACTACCGTACTAATTACACAATATTACATGAAGACCTTTTAAAGTTGCTGTGCACACTGAGTTATCGGAAAATAGGCACTAATTTAATAATGTCATATGCATAGGCGTTAGAGAGTTTTTATTTTATGTTATATCTTTAACGAACATGTCCCTAGATAGTCAAGGCATCATCTTTTATTTTTAGAAAAGTGTTAAAACATTAAATAAAGAACATCTTAAACTCGTATCTTTATTATTATACAAAGTGGTTAGTTATAATTGCATAATTTCTGTCTTGTATATAACAACGTTTTTAAAGCAAAACCTACAAGAAATATTGAAACAGAAAAACAGTTAATTGCTTCCTGCTTAATAAATTACACATATTAACAAGACGCCCTTGTCTCTCTTATAATTGTTTTTCAGGTGGTACCTAAGAATGGTTTGAATTAAATATTATTTTTAGAGTCTTAATTTAAAAGTATAGTTTTCTCTGTTCAACTAAGAACTGGGACTAAAGTAGCATTCTAAAGTTATTTAGCGCTTAACATTAAGCCATATTTTTGCTAAGTCATAAATAACGACAACTATTTCATTTGCATTTTTTTGTTGGCCTACCTGGATATGCATTTTTCTTGTTTTTCAACTTTCTGATTTCATTGTCAGGTATTCAGATAAGAAAGAGGAATATTTTAGATTTATCAGTACTAAATATCCATCTCTACAACGATGAAAAATAATAACATTTTTACAGAGTGTAGTTTAGTCTCATTTTTATGACGATACAAAACTCGTATTTCAGGGCAACTTAGTGTGCTGGTCGTTTAAACTGGTTATATTACCGTTTCCGTTATACACATTGGACATCAAAGTACGTTTAAGTAGTGCACATTATCGCTGTTGTTCCATGTTATACTCTATTTAATTTTTACAATAAATTTATTATTTTCCTTTACTTTCTTCTCCAGGTCTAAGATTTTTGAGGGCGCTCCGATTGATCTCGGTTCCCGATATTCTGCAGTATTTGAACGTGCTCAAGACCAGCAGCACAATTCGATTGGCTCAGCTGGTTTCCATAGTGATCAGTGTGTGGCTTACAGCAGCTGGAATCATCCATTTAGTAAGTTGAAATTCCAATACATCATTACCTTTATAAAAGCTGAATCCACGCGTCTACGTATGTTTCAAACAATATATCTATATAGACTAAATTCAAGTGTTCACGTATCCTTCAACTAATATCCTTATACAGAATGAATCTCAATAATCAGGTATCTTTCAAACAATAAATTTATACAGGTTGATTCCAAGTGTTCACGTATATTTTAAATAATACTTTTATCCAGATTGAATCCAAATATTTAAGTATCCTTCAAATACGTTTATATAGGCAGAATACAATACAAGTAGCAGTATTCACAAATCCGTAAAACGAAAATTTCTTTCCAAAATTAGATAAGCAAGGATAAAAAGTCGATACCTCGAACTAAATATGAAGAAAAATTATTATTACAGCTGTTGATCTACTGCGTTAATACGGTGGATTTCTACAACGCTCTCTTGAAATGAAAAAGTATTGGGATTTGTATGAATATTTTTTGCATGAAACATTTTACTATTTTAGGAACGTTAGAACTCACATTCATTCACACTTACAATATTCCACGATTAATAAAATATTGAACTAGCACGTTTATATTATCAACTGTAAACGTGGCTTTCTAATGTTAATACAACAGTTCAGGTATGTGGCCGAATGCCACTCTTCTGTAGTTTTTCACGATTTGAGAGTGTCTTAGGAAGCTGATTCTGTTCTCCCTAAAACGTTAGGCTTTTAAAATATGTCATTGATCTAGTCCGAGAACACGCTCGAAACTGCAGCCATGAGTTAGTAACGACAGTGATATAAACTGGATTGGTGATCTGGATTGGTCAGAAGTTTGAGGGTTACTTAATGATACTCAGTCATATTCGTAGGTTTAACAGACTTTTGGCTTCAACTAGCCATCCTGTATGCTCAATAAGCAGGCTTAATAAACAGTCGGTTTTGACTGGCGAGCTTACAGGCTTAACGAATCGTCGGCTTAAACTGGCTATTTTGTATGCTCAATACGAAAACTTAATAAACTGTCAGCTTAGATTAGCCTGTTTTAGGTTTAACAAACCATCGGTTTACATTGATAAGCTTGTATGTGTGAAAAACGTAAGATGTTATTTGGTAAGTTGTGAGGTTTGTCAATTGTATTACTTCTGCTCACCAAAATGACCATCCTTCTCATAAAATTGTTCATCGTGAAATTTGTGTATATTTTGCTTCAAAAGTGTACATATTTTATTGTCTATGGTGCGTTACTGATAGTCCTTACTCTGCAAATTTTAAAACTATAGAAATATAATCGCTGACTGTTTGGCTGTTGCAGTTTCAATGTTGTCATCACCTTTAATGCTTACCCACGGCTCCATAGTGCGGAACGCGTTTTGGCGGCAAGCGTTTGCGAACTACAAATTCTCGGGTTCACAGTTCAATCATGCTAGCCACTAGATCACGCTCTGCAAACTTACAGTATTAATATTAGCTAAAGTGTTTCGTTCAACTGTTTGGTCATATAGAATAAGATGTTGGATGGTGAATATATTTATTCTAAGGTGCTCAGGTTTCAGTGGTACAGAAGTACATCTGCGGACTTACAACGCTAGAAACCGAGTTTCTATATCCGTGGCGGATAGAGCACAGATAGCCCATTATGTAGCTTTGTACTTAATTACAAACAAACAAATTTACACACTAAAAACGTACTGTTTAAAAGCACAATGTAGTCTTTTCGAGAATAATATTTGTTGTTTCTATTCAAATGATGTAACATTTCAGCTCAGACGTTATAAAGTAAAATCACAGTTAAAATTGATACACCAATTAACTTCAGCCATTAAATCTTAAATCTATATTGAAAATGTATGTAAATTTGAATTCACACTTTGTCTTGACAAAATAATGAAAATGGGTCCACCATTTGAGATAAGGTATAGCTTGAAACAGTAATTAAAATAAAATGTACCACTTGAGTTAATACATTGAAAATGTAAATAAAAATATATGGGCCTTTTAATTCAGGCATTAAAGATCGAAAAATGATTTGAAATGGCTAAACCATTTGAGTTCCAGTATAAAAATTTGAAACAATTTTGAAGACGAAAGTACCATTTCGGTTAATGTATTCAAATATAAAACAACTTTGAATATGGATGTACACCTTGAGACCATTAAAGATTAAAGATTGAAACAGTATTGAAAATGAATGTACCAGTTAAGTTAAAAAAATAAAACGTAAACGCCCCCAAGTGGCACAGCGGTATTTTTGCGGACTCACATCGCTAGAAACCTGGTTTTGATACCCGTGGTGGACAGAGCACAGATAGCCCATTGTGTAGCTTTGTGCTTAATCCAAACAAACAAGACGTAAACAATACTGAAATTAAAAAACATGTGAATTAAGACGTTATATTTTAAAAAAGCTAAAAATGGATGTAACATTCGAGTTGCGAGATTATTATAATTTGAGTTTAATGATTAAATTGTGGAACAATAATATAATTTATTTCACAAATCAAGGGTCGAATCAGGGTTTTATGTTTGAGTTAATAAATTAAAGCTTGAAAGAGTAATGAAAATAAACTTGCCGTTCGAGTTAGACATTAACGGTTTAAACAATGCTGAAACTGCCATGAACACTAAAGCTTAAAACAATACATGCAATAAACATTAACAAAACCAAGTTGTTGTTTTTATTGTTTTATTAAAAGTTACAGCTTTTACAGTGAGTAAGATTGGTATTTAGAATAGGTACGACGTTTCGATCACTGGTGCGATTATTTTCAAGTACACAAGTTTTAACAGTAAAGAAAACGAAACTATTAAATAAAACTAACTTTTTCAGAATAAAACTTAAACAAGATAGATTATTTTTTATAATATCATAAAGTTTTTGTTTGGTTCTTAGAGATTATAACATCACACCTAAGATTTTATCGATTTTATCTGTTATGGAAAATTGTCTGTTAGTAATATTTAATTTAAAATAAAATTAATGCACCGTCTGAGTTAAAACATCATGCAAACATAAGAAAATACTGAAAATGGATGTATCACGTGGACTGAAATATTAAAGCTTGTAACAATAATGAAAATTAATGTACACCATTTGAGTTAAGGCATTAAAACTTGAAACAATGCTAAAAATGGATGCTTCATTTAAGTTAAGACTTTTCTAAACTTATCATAATATTAAATATGTATTACCGTGTGAATTAAGACATTTAAGCTTGAAACAAGAATAAACATGTAGTATCTGAATTAAAGAACTAAAGTTTGAAGTATAACTAAAATTAACGTGTCATTTCAGTGAAAGCGTTAGAGTTTGAACAATGTTGAATATGGATGTACCATTTTAATTTAGTTATGAAAGCTTGAAACAGTAAAAAAGAAAACACGTGCCATTTGAGTCAAAACTTTAAAGCTTGAAACAATGCTGAAAATGAATGTGCCATACGAGTCAATACATTGAAGTTTGAATCAGCTTTGAAAACGTATATGTACCTCTCTGAAAGAATATCACAATTTTTATCTTTTATGTTTATTTTGAAAAAACAAAACAACAAACAGTTAGGATATCTTTAAAAGCAAATTTCACGTGACTAAGAAACATTGTCATGTGCTCTTTTCAAAACAGATATCACAGACCATGAAGAAACATTGTGGTGTAAATATCCAGTTTGTTTCTGTTATTTGTGTATTTAATATCGTTAAGGTCGCTGATTGTGTAAACCGTATTTCTTTCTTTTAGCTTGAAAACTCTGGGGACCCTTTAGAGTTCGACAACCCACACAACCTTTCCTACTGGGAGTGTGTATATTTTCTCATAGTAACAATGTCAACAGTGGGCTATGGTGATATTTACTGCAAGACTACCCTGGGCAGAACATTTATTGTTTTATTCATTTTAGTGGGTCTGGTGAGTTTAATATCTCCTGTTAATTGCTACAGTGTCTCAAAACGTCATGGAATAAATATATATATAATACTTTCGTTAAAACATTTATTAAACAAATGTTAGTTTCTGAATGAAAACGAAAAACTCATGCATTTTCGCAGTACTTAGGACTATACATCCATATATATCTTATTTAAAGAAACTACTTTTTGACTCAGATATTCTTTCTCAACTCCTGAATTTTTTGACGTTGTAAAATAAAAAAGCAACGAACAGAAACTGTTAAGACGATATGGAAGGATATCCACCATAACTTTAATTTTAGTTAACATCTAGCAACAAATTAACTTTTACTAATAAAGACTTATGAAATCACTCCTGTGATTCTTTTGGCTATCTGTTATGAAAAATCTCTGATAATGGTATTTTCTTTTGAAATATTTATAAATTGTGATAGATTAATTACCACCGTTTTTTTTTCTATATTCGTGTTTATTCACTGTATGTATATATATATATGTGTGTGTGTGAACTTTCGTTTTAAATGTTTTACCGTAGAGACTATACAAGTCAAGAAGACATAAACACATTGTGTACATGGAGGGTATAGATCTTTTTAGCAAAGTTATCAGTTTGTCACCAGGATTTAAAATAGTGAAACCAGTAATAATATGTCACACCGTTAACGTGATTTTTATTTCGCAGTATTGAGCCATATAATATCGACAACATCAGTGAAGACTCTGACTTCCTGTAATAATAGTTCGAATGTTTTTATTAAGTGAATCATGTAACTTCAACATGGTTAGTGGGAAAACCAACTTCCTTATTTCAAATGTTAGAAACAACATATTTATTTGCTTAATTAAATAAACACATGCAATTGCTAGCAGTTTTTCCTCTAAATTTTACATCTTTCTTTAATAAATATAACAAGACTAATGTTTCTTGTTTGAACATTGTGAAAGCATATTTAAGGCTTAATCAGCTAGACTTAATGAATTGAAGTCTGCAGCTTGTTAGCTCCCATAAATCATTTATATCCTTTCCATTTCGTTTGAAACTCTCTCCACCCAACATTTAACCTTTACCCTTACTTCTAATTAGAGAAAATAAGACTCAATTGAACGAAGGATCCCAGAAGAGCTAATCAACCTTCAAATGATCGATAGTATGGGTTGTTGTTTTTTGTCTGCTGTGAGCTAAAATATTATTAAGTTAAATTCTCAGAATTTTAATACGACACGTTATCATATCTATATACCACTAAGTAGAAGAATTCAACAGGCTGCATGATTGTCCCGAATCCTTTTTGAATTTGTTGAAAAGATCTATACATTTTGTGACCGGCAATACCTTTTTTTGAAAGTTTCTGTTGAGCAAACCAAAGAAATATCAATACATGTTGAACGGGTTACCTAGGCAATTGAGGTTCACAAAAACATTTCTCAGGAAATGGAAAAAAAAAGCAAAATTTGTTCAAATTATTGCCTAGGTTTGAGATTAAAAAATAAAAGAGGGGAAGAAAAACATCTTACTTGTAAATTAACCTTTGTCGTCATGGTAAAATTTATATGATGATGGACATGTATCTTTGTAAGAATGTCATTGAGAGAAAATACGTGAGTTGTATTTAACTTCACTGTTTCTGGAACATGCCCCATAATCATAGCACGTATTACCTTTTTTAATCATAGCACGTATTACCTTTTTATCTGATAGAACCTGTCACACTGCTTGAACAGGTTATCCAGTTTTGCACCTCTTCCTCTTTTTTGCATTTTTTTTTCAAATATAATATTTGAACACATGTGTTTCAAGATGTTATAATTTTCATAATCTTGCGGTGTTATATTTTGCATGATTCGTGCACATAAATGATGCTTTATAGTTATTATTTCCTGACATTTATACTGATTTTGTCCATAACCTAGCATTTACAGTTTTATTGTTTTCATAACAGCAGATAGTTGCCTGTGGTTCAGCTTTAGTATCTTTTAAGAACGCTTTAGTTACTGTCATGCGCACTTAATCAGTAGATGTAGTCTAGTCCTAGGTGACTATATCCATGCTTGTTTAATGTTTCATTTTCTCCTATATTTTCCACCCTTAGGCCGTCTTTGCCAGTTGCATTCCTGAGATCCTAGAGTTAGTAGGAACTAGACCAAAATATGATGGCGAGTACAGACAGGAGCATGGTAAAAGGTACAGAATAGTAACTCCCTTTTAGTCTGTTGTGCGCTGGTGTAAACGCATGATTGTGTTTATTGCCGCTAGAGGGGGTTTCTGTTCTCTTCTATAACTGCTGCAGTATCGTGATTGTGGTTTCTGCTAGTTACTTGTCTTCTTTCTAAACTCGAGATAACTCTCACTTTCATCCTGCATCAGCTGATTAACTCTTGGTGATTACCGTTGCTGAAAGATTAACCGATATAAGTCTTCTTCAAAATAATCAGTGTAACACAGTTAAATATCTTCACTTTTTGAACCCTCTTCATATTTCATTTTTTGATTCGTAATAAATACATTTTATAAAGTTTGAAACGAGGAAACATAGTCGATTTTCTTTCTTGTTTTTTTGCATTAAATGTAACTAATGGTTATTCAAAAGAAACACTCATAAAGCACGCTCAGATACCTAGTTTTCTCCAAACACGGAAGCAGCTATAATAAAGAACAAAATATAATTCAAATCTTGAAAACCACATCTTGTTTTCTAAAACATAAGACTTACACCTTGAATAAAACAATTGTAGTCGGTTAATCTATCAGCATATCGTATGTGGCGCTGCTTTTTGTGATGACGCATGACATGTGTTGACACGTCATCCCTGTGCTCCTCACGCCCTCTATAGGCTGTCTTCGCAAGCTGGGTTCCTGAACTCACGGAGTCGATGGCGGGGCTTTCAAGCAGGAACGCGGAAAGAGGTATTGTCGTGTTGTTGTGACATAATATGTTCAAAGCGTTGATTTTGTAGAGCTAAAAGCTGTTTCCCTTCCTTTTTTTCTTCCATTCCTTCTCTCTCTCTCTCTTTCTTTCTTTTGCACGTGCCTGGTATACTTTCTCTGCACCAACTGACACCCAACTTATGCACGTGGCCGTCTGTTGACCAATCGTAGGCAGTGTTTGCTGGCTGTATCCCGGAGATCATTGACCTGATTGGCTCCCGACCTAAATATGGTGGAACATACAAGTCGGAGAGAGGAAGAAGGTAATAAGCTTTTAAAAATGTAGTTGCAACTTTACTGTAGGATAATGTAGATATTCCCTACTTACAGATGTTGTTAACTTTTCATCAATAGTTTCAACTTTTAACAGTTGAAAATGTTTTGCATTATGTTTCAGTTAACTGTTTTTCCAGAGCAGACTATTTGTAGGATTTTAGTTTTGTAAATGTAAACTTTAGTTTTATAAAAATGTATATATATTTAATTTTTTACTATTTTAGAGGCTCCAACAACATGGCAAAAGTAAACAGTACCAGTAATATGCTCATATGTATTTATAGTTTTCAGTTTTTAAATACTGTATGCTGGATATTATAGATAGAACATAAAACTAAAGGAAATAATATAAGATGTTTTACTTAATTTACGCTTTCGCGGTTTTTTATTTTTTCTAAAATATTTTGAATACATTAGCAAACACAGAAACCCTAGTTTTTTAAGTGATATTAATAATGTCCGGATGTTTTTATTAATTTAAAGCTTCAAAGCATTATAATTATTATAATAATTATTGCAAACGAATAATAATAAAGAAAAGGGTTCATTCTGAAAAACTGATGTATACGAGTTTTGATTTTCGTTCACATTAAGTTGGAAAAGTAACTGGAGTTTCAAGTTTTACCCAAAGATTTTTAAATGAATTTGAGGTAACATTTAAGTTCGTGAGTCTAAATTAGAATCCATGCGATTCTTTTCGAAACTAAATAAACCACCACTTGAGTTTATAGAGAATGAAACCGATAAAAAAAAGACCTAGAAATCCAGAAAGCATTTTATTTATGGCCGACATTGTGTCATGATGGCTTCGTTAGGAAGTGCTTATGAATACGCACCAAATTAGTCACTGCTAACTGTTTCTAGTCTTATAAAGTCAATGTGGATTAAAAGATTACACGCTATTATCTAGGTTCAATATTTAATCAGGTCTCAGGCAGAGAGTTAGTGTTTCTTTGAGTGGATATGACTCAGAAATTAAATACTTTAATACTTTAGCTGATTCATCAATATACTGTACAAAAAAAAAGCCAGGGCCACTCTAAAAACGTTGATTTTAGGAAGATTTTGTAGCATTTTTTATGATTTCATACCTTTTGACATTTTAATATAATTACTTTGTATGACTGCTGTGTAGCAATAAGCCTTAGTTTTATATGCATAAATACGTCTTGTGTACATTATGTTATCCTGAATCCCTCCGTTTAAAGGCACATAGTGGTGTGTGGACACATCACATTTGAGTCGGTGTCTCATTTTCTTACGGACTTTCTTCATGAAGATAGAGAAGACGTGGATGTGGAAGTCATCTTTTTACACAGGTAAGTCAGAAATTAGATTGAAAAAAAAATGAGAGAGAAATAAAATTCTCAAAATATTAGTCAGCACACTAATCTTTAAATAGTTTAAATATACGTCAGCACACTAATCTTTAAATAGTTTAAATATACGTCAGCACACTAATCTTTAAATAGTTTAAATATAAGTCAGCACACTAATCTTTAATTAGTTTAAATATAAGTCAGCACACTAATCTTTAAATAGTTTTAAAAAAAGCTAAAACTTTTCAGTGGACGAACAACAAAAATATGACAACCACCAATATTTTTCTAAATGCTCTTTGAGTATTATTGGTATAATGTTGACAAGAGGTTTGACTAACAATTAAACACCAACTACTGTTTCATATCCTTCTTAGCTACATGTGCAATAATTTTTTTTTCTTGAGTAAGTTTTTATTATTTTTGATGTTTCGCTCGCATCTCAGAAAATCCAGTGATGAAATAGTTTTCTTTGTGCCCATGTCTTTTCATGTAACCGACAGTTACGTTAAATGGCGGGCGGTCAATACAAAAAATTCAGGAAAAGTCTTTGTCTTTTGAAGTTCGCGCAAAGTTACACTAGGGCTATCTGCGCTGGCCGTCCCTAATTTAGCAGTGAAAGACTAGAGGGAAGACAGCTAGTCATCACCACCCACCGCCAAATCTTGGGCTACTCTTTTACCAACTAATAGTGGGATTGGTCGTCACTTTATAACGTCCCCACGGCTGATAGGGCGAACATGGTTGGTGGGACGGGGATTCGAACCCGCGACCCTCAGATTGCCAAATTAGGACGGCTAGCGCAGATAGCCATCGTGTAGCTTTGCGCGAAATCCGTAACAAACAAACATATTAATTCAGTGTTTTGTTGAAAGATTTTGTGATTTTAGTTACTGTTATTAAGTTTTTGACTGGTGCGAAGCTAAATGGCAGATATCTTTCCTACTAATGTTTTTAGAGATGCTGAAAGAAATATAGCATCGACAACGAGCAATATGATGTCGGTTATGGTAATAACGTGTTCTTGTTGTTTCGGAGTTGTTGTCTCTGCATGCTCGGTTGTAGGGTTTTCTATTGTGTATCGTTATTTTTTTGTGGATGGTGTTGATTTGTTCGGTGTTATATTTGCTTTGGGCCTGTACGGGTTATTACTTTGCATGCTAGGACATGTAAAATTGTTACAGGTATTCCATCAATGATGGTTACTGGGGGAGATTTAGCATTGTTAGGTGTCTGTGTGAGTTATCAGTTGTATTTGGCGAGGTTCACATGTTTTGGGGAGTTAGTGAGGCTGTTTGTGGTTGTTTTTGTCTTATGTTTTATCGAGTTGTTCTTTTTTTTTTTTTTCGTTTGACAGTTGGAAAAGGCTTGGCATGGCCTGGAGTTAGGGCGTTCGATTCGCAATTTGCGGGTGGCGGATTCGAATCCCATCACCAAGGTTACTTGCCCTCTCAGCCGTGAGGCCGTTATAGTGTTATGGTCAATCCCACTATACGTTGGTAAAGATTATCTCAAGAATTCATTAGCTGCTTTTCCTATATCATTTCAATATTAGGTATGGCTAGCGCATATAATCCTTGTGTAGCTTTGCGCGAAAGTCAACCAACAAACAAACAGTTTAAAAAAACACCAATGGGGGGGGGGGGGTTTCTTCTTCTGACGTATTGCTTTTTAAATAGTCACTGGCAGAGTGAATGCTATTTTTTAAATTTCTGTAACTGCTAGTGTCTGTGTTTTTAGCATTTCTAGCACTATATAAGCTCTGAAAAGATACTCGAAGACTTGTAATGTAGCGTAGAAAAGAAAGACGAAAGGCATACTGGTTAAAGAGAATATACTGTACTGTGATTGGATGAAATAAGTAAAGCCCCAAATATGGGTAGAGAAGGTACTTTCAGGTCACCTAGAGTACTCCTCACAGCTTCAATTCTTTCATCTTTTTATGGTAGGTATATTTCTCGGTTTCTTTTCGCAGAAAAAGCAACATTTAGAACCGCATTTTGAATTCTGAACAAAATAGGATTAATTCATTTCCCACACAGACAATTAGCATCAACAAGAATCCTGTCAGAGATCTGCGTCATTTTCCAATCAGGTTAAAGAAAACTTTGAACTACACCCATGATCAAGTCGTGCTAGGATCATATTAAAATAACTCAATTCCCTCGGTACCAATATCGTTAACAATACTCTATCAAACACCTTTTCATTTAACATTTCAGTTAGTTCCGAAAGGATCAGTGTTAAGCTCTTTGTTTTACTTAATATATGTCCTCAGTATATCAATCCTCCCCCTACTGTTAACTCATCTCAGTATGTTGATGACATAGCGATATGAAGCATTTCCCGCAATCCTTAACTTGCAGCCAACAAAGTTCAGACTTCTCTCAACCACAAGACAACATGGTGTAAGAAGTGGCGGATTGTTCTCAATCCTTCGAAAAATAAACGATTTTCTCCCACAAAAGTTTAAACGGGAGATTTCCTAGAATTAAGTTTCTTGGCGTTACATTCAAAAATTAGTTCACTTGGAACTCACACTTCAGTGAAGTTCTACAAAAAATACGTGTAAAAATGAATTACATTTAACGTATAGAAAATCGCGTTAACGCTGAAAAACGTCCGCTCTCTTACTTATCTTCAAAATTTTCATTATAACGCTAATAGAATACGGATGTATGGTAACATGTCTGATTACACTTTCCGTAAATAACAAATGCTTCAAATCTGCGAAATATGTACAGCACTCCACCTGCCTGCTTTTATATATTCCTATATGCAATGTGGATAAAGATTCAACAATCCCAATAGTCAAAAAAGGTTGCCCATATTAGCTTCTAAGTTCCACAGAAATCACAGAAACAGAAGTCCGCTCTCAGCCTAAAGTTATATCATAACAGCCACCTCATTCTCATAGCAAAAACATACCTCCCGTTCAACTTAATACTTTACGGATAACATCTAATCTTACGACGCTACAATCCGGGTTTCGACACCCGTGGTGGGCAGAGCACAGATATCCCATTGTGTAGCCTTTTGCTTAATTACAAACAAACATCTGATATTGTATTGTGTTAACAGTTCTGGGCTTGGCTTGTGGTTTTACTTTATTTTACTGTGTTTAAAGTTCAGCTTTGACATTGGGTAGTTAGATTTTTTTGGCGCCCACCCAAAAAAAGTGAGTTTTTCTCAGGGAACTCCCCCTCCCCCACGTACATACACATGTACACATATCTAATTATTTAGTTCTTTGGCATAGAATTTATTAAATCCACCGCCTATTATCCCTACTACCGACGACAGCCTTCCTCTTGTATACGGCCAGACATTATTGACAACTTTCTCTAACCAATTTAACATTAATCATATTTGTTTGTATATATATACAGGTGCTTGTTTTTCTTCCTGTTATGGTATTTAAACCAAAAGTGAAGTACAGTAAAATTACTTAGTTTCCGAACACTTACGGTATTAAATGCCAAATCCCTACCAGGAAAGAAGAAAACATTATAATAATAGAGTCGAAGTAGGGTTCTGTCTACAACATTCGCGAAACGTCGTCTTAAAACGAAGGAAAACTCTAGGCAGGGGAAATCAATAAAAGTTCCAGATTAATGCACTGTCAAAACCAACCCCCTAAAAAAATAAATAAATGTAATCTTGGAAACAGCACTATAATATAGCAAAAAAGAAATAGAATGCTGAGGTGGAATCTGTTTTTTGTTATTTCCTACAGTAACAAAAAAAGATGGAGTCTTGATATAAACAGGATACTACAAACGTTTTACGTGGATTCAGCTAAAGAAAAGATTGAATTTTCATTTAACTGACTATAATCAATTATTGTAAATCTTTTATTAATGATTAATTACTATTTTAACTCAACCAAATAGGACATGTATTTAGATTTTGAAATCTTGAATATTTAATAAGATTTCAATGTAAAATATGTCTCAAGGAAGTGAAACCCCCACTTCTGTGATAAGATTTCAATGTAAAGTAATATGTCTCAAGGAAGTGAAACTTCCACTTCTGTAATAAAATTTCAATGTAAAATAATATGTCTCAAGGAAGTGAAACTTCCACTTCTGTAATAAGATTTCAATGTAAAATAATAATAAGTAGTTTTACTTGATAAGCTTGTTTCCTTTTGTATATTGAAGGAGAGAATTTTCTTCAAGTTTTGATCAACAACTCCGTTATCAATAAACTGTTATTTTAGAAAGTCAGTAAAAAACGAGTAAGTAAGCTAAAAAATAAACTCCAGGATTGGATACTTGATTAGAAGAAGTAGAGTTATCCACCTGTGTGAAATAAAACCATGAGATTAGTGAAGTAATGTCAAAGTTTTCCTTTATGAACACAAAATACCTAAGAAAATTATGATAACTTTCGATATTAGACCATAAGTAAGTGATGGATTCGTAAAAGAATTTAATATTTGAATTGCCATGAGCAATATAATGAACCAATAATTCATCAATTCAAATAACATACCTAAGAAATTACCAAGGCAAAAAAAAATTGAGTAGGTGAAGTCTTAATGAACAATAATTTAATGTGAAAGGAATTCAGTTTCAACATTTTAAACTGTTTATTTCAGGAAACCGCCTGATCTGGAACTGGAAGGTTTGATTAAACGTCATTTCACTACTGTAGAGTTTTTTCAAGGAAGCGTTATGAGTCCTATTGACCTACAACGGGTAAAGGTACACATCGTTTCAGAATTACAAATAGTTGTCGCTTGATTATTCTATAATTATTTTTGTTTACCAAACACTTAATCGCTAATTGAGACAAACCGTGACATTAATCTTACATCTGTGTCTATGGAATATTTTTTCGACCACCCTGATGGAACTATTATGTGAACAGTAATACCCACCTGGCGATATAGTATCTATTATATAAACCATATTAATATAGTAGCACAGTATTCGTTACGTGAATCATACAGATATGGTTGAACGACATCAGTTATGTGGTAGTGCAGTGTGGTATACTCAGGAATATTGACTCCTTACAAGTATGAGTAGTAGCTGCTCTATATAGAAGCTTAGCAGAAAATGTATTGCGGAGTTAAACTGATTCCGACTTGATTGGTCTGTGAAAAGAAACTGGACGCCAAAAGCTTCACACTAAAACAGGTATTGTATTATTCACATAATTCACACGAAAGATGGTCGAACTTCTCTTTCTCTAAATGAAAAGAAAAAAGAATAAAAGTTTATACTGAGAGAGTCAACCACTATAATTTAATTTTGATATGGCTAAATCTCCCATTGTACGTATGTCATAAACATCATCTGATTCTTCCATTAACAAAAATATTTCTAAATCAGTACATAATCAATACTACAAAAGAACATATTGGTACAAGTCTAAGGAATTTTCCAGCGCCACCTTCTGTGGAAACGTCTAGAAATACCAAAAATGAAAATTTCTTTTGACAGCACGTGACTAGCAGAAGAATATTTACGCCACATTCTGAAGTCGATTATCTGCACACAAGAGATTAAGTACGATTTTGGAGCCTCACCACGTCATAACAATCTATATTGCTATATCTATTCATGCTCTATCCGACGACCGTTTACCTTTACAATAGCGTTCAGCGTAATTTCCATTGAAAGGCTCCATAGTTTTACCAAAGCTCAAAAGTTATGTTTTACAGAGTACAAAAAGAAACACAGAAAATGCATTTATTGAAAATCTGTAAAATTTCAACATTAGTACCTTGCCATATAGTATTTTAAGATGTACTGATGCATTACAGATGCGACTAGCACCAGATCTAAATAAAGGTTCAGTAGAAATATTTTTCACGGAGCTAAACTAGTTTCTGACTTGGCTGAATCGAGGAAAGAAACAAGCAGGACACAACTTTCACAGCAAAATCAATACAATTTACCCTGCGCACGAAGCAGAAAAACACAACTCAATCAGTGGATGTGTATAGGAAGACGAAAGATCTGTGAAGAAAGTTCTGAATAATCTGACTAGACTAAGAGAACCAATCACCATACATTTATATGAATAGGATTAAATCTTCCATAGTACTTTTATTACCCACGCTACTTGGTCATATGTTTATCAAAAGTAGAGAAAAATGGCCATCGGGTAATTCTAAACTTAGAAATCAATGTTACTTTGAAATACTTCAGTAAAACGTAAGGAAAGTACATACATTCCAATAGAGAGATTCCCCCTGGCAGCGTGTGAATAATAAGAAAATAAAGCCATCGCATTCCAAAGCCTGTTATATACACATTATACGCACACATACGCAAGCGCGTGTTAAGTCGAACGTTTTTACAAATGTTCACCCTTCTAAACTAAAAAGAAAAGAAACATTTGGTATGTTTCACCTATCACAGCACTATAGATTGACGTGGAAGTACAGTGTCTGCTATGTGGCGAACTGTACTGATGTCGTAATACAGTAGCTATAAAATGTATAAACCGTACTGATGTGGTAGTAGAGTAGCTATACATGAACATTTATAGTAGCTATAAAGTAAACCGTACTGATGTGGTAGTAGAGTAGCTATACATGAACATTTGTTGTAGCTACAAAGATGTATAGCTCTCTCTACTACCACATCAGTACGGTTTAAAATGTTCCTTTATAGCTACTATATGTATAGCTCTCTCTACTACCACATCAGTACGGTTTAAAATGTTCAATGTATAGCTACTTTACTACCACATCAGTACGGTTTACTTTATAGCTACTACAAATGTTCAATGTATAGCTACTTTACTACCAAATCAGTACGGTTTACTTTATAGCTACTATAAATGTTCCTTTATAGCTACTATTAAACCGTACTGATGTGGTATTACAGTAATTGTAATGTGAACCGTAGTGACGTTGTAGTGCAGAAACCAATATGAAGTATCGTGATTGTCATGTATACACTGTTTCGATGACAGTACCACCATAACCACCAATATTATCATAAACATCAATAGAAAGTCTTCGAAACATTATACAGTGGTCATTGTCTTGGATATTATCCTCACAACAACAACTTTAGTCATGACCACCACCAGAAAGTCCTAGAGAACTCTTCAAGTAAACACTTTGAACGATAATATTCTAATAACCACTGTTTTTTGTTTTAACCATCACCATAAAGTCCTACAAGTAATATAAAGTAGACATCATTCCAAAATCATAAAAAATCACTACTTTAATCATAATTATATCGTAAGAAATTTCATGGAGTAAAAATGTTTTCCAAGACATTATCCCCATAACCACCGCTTTGTTATATCGCCAAAAAGTCCTATGATAGAGTAGACATTGTTTCATAGATCTCGTGATATTTATTTTAGGTACACGAAGCCGATGCATGTTTGGTTCTGGCGAACAAGTATTGTCTGGATCCTGATGCTGAAGATGCTGCGAACATCATGCGAGTTATCTCTATTAAAAACTACTCTGACGATATTCGGGTTATTATCCAGTTGATGCAGTATCACAACAAGGTTAGTCTATAGAGTTGTTTATATTCCACTTGAAATTGCTTTTGTGTGTGAAATACAAATAGTATGATACACCGCACCTAAGTTGAAGATGCAAATAACGCATCTGTGTTGTAAAATAACGCGTACGAACACGTGAAAAGAACAAATCCAGGTAAAATATGTTTATTTTGTTCTTTAATTAACGGTAGACCAACATTTCCTAGAAGAAATATAAATATATCATTGCATCTTTCCATTTAATCATTATATATAATTATCCAGTTAGCAATGACAGGAAGATGAGGTTCAAAAAGATTCTAAATAGTTTAAATGCATGAAATTATATCACTAGTACTCATATATATATTAGCTTGAAAAACAATAATATTTTATCGAATTATCCACGGAGTGAAACCGATGTAGCCCCGGTTAGGGCGCTCGACTCGCAATCTGAGTGTCGCGGGTTCGAATCCCCGTCACACCAAACATGCTCGCCCTTTCAGCCGTGGGGGCGTTATAATGTGACGGTCAATCCCACTATTCGTTGGTAAAGAGTAGCCCAAGAGTTGGCGGTGGGTAGTGATGACTAGCTGCCTTCCCTCTAGTCTTACACTGCTAAATTAGGGATGGCTATCGCAGATAGCCCTCGTGTAGCTTTGCGCGAAATTCAAAACAAACAAACAAATGAAACCGATGAAGACAAATACAATATAGTTATTTTGACGTAGAGAACGGTCCGTACACAGTTCTACATATTAATTTACCTCCGTTATATGAGTCTTAAAAAAACAATCGTCTTTATCCGTGATCTGTTGTACGTAAAAGTGAATGAGGGTTTAAGAAATAATGTTTTGTTTGCGCATATGTTCTTTCATATATGACTGTCACTCTCGTGTCGGTCTCCTTAGTCACAAGAGACGCTGCTCTAGACGAGCGATCAACATGAGCTAACAAAGGACGGACCTAACCTAACCTAACCATCCATGGTCAAACCTGGCCGAAGGAGGCCTACAAATATGTTCTTCAATGTACAACAATCAAGAACTGAAATGACGTCGAGTGTCAACTATAAAAAACACAAATCAAATGACTCTATCACACAAAGATTTCCCCTTCTGCCCCTGAAGAAAAGAAGAGTTCACTGTTTGATCTTCTAGGTCTATTATTGTATTATCTTTATGTTTCATATATATATATATATATTGTTATCCGTGCTATTTTTTATTATTAACATTAAAATTTACAATTTTCTAATTAAACTCGTAGTTAGCTATACCTTGAGTTCACTTACTGTTTATGTAATTATTCAAAAATTATTTCATACGGTTACGAGTGCATGTGTTGTAGGTTCTATAACAAAGTTATATATATGTGTGTTAAGGATTTCTTTTAAAATTAGACACAAAATTTGGGCGTCTTAGTTGTTCGTTTTTCTGATGAAATATTTTACCTGCGCCTATATACGTTTGACGGGTCTGGGAAGAATAAATCATATATTTCAAACAGATTTCCTCAAAGTGGGCGTCGATTGCAAACTACGGTGTTTTTATTAAATAATAAAAAAAAATTCTGACAACTTTGATTTATACCATTGGGCGTTAACTCTATTATCTCAGACTACGTATAGAGATAGGCGTCTGTAATCATAACAATCGTTTTGTTTTATGTATATTTTTGCCAGCACTATCTCAAAATTCTTAAAAGAAACAAATTTATTATAAGTTTGATTTTAAGAAGAAAAAAAGCACATTTGGTGATCCAGGCGATGCTTAGAAGTTGGGCTGAGTTATGAAAAATGCATGGTTGGTGACGCACGTTTGTTGTAGATGGTTATGAGAATTTCATATGAGCCTTAGAAAATCATATTTAGTGCGTCAAAAAAGGAATCTTCCAAGCACGTTGGAATGTCGTCGTATTTTTGGTCTTCTGTGCCATTGACAGTGTAGGTATAATGATGAATCATCTAAAGTTAGCAGGAAAAGTTTAGTAACGAACACATCCATTTCAACGTCGTCACTAGCTGGAAGTCTAGCACCTCCAATATGCTGTTCTTTCCTTCAACTACATTTTCCGACAATACACACCCGTACTAAATTCCTTATTACATGTATTTTCCAGAAATATACACCCGCATCCAATATTTTATGGCGTGTATTTTTCATTAATGCGTACTCCTACGCAGCACATAAAACATTATTACGTGTCTTACACATCCGTAACCTAAGACATTATTACGTGTATCGTTTTTCAATAAACACCTGGATCTAACATATTATTACACGTACATTCCATCATCGGGTATTCTTAACCTGCACTTATGATACTATTACGCCTATCTTCCACTACAAATGAATAGGCGCGTGCATAGGCGCCCATAGAAATATTTTCAGAGGGGGGGGGACAAAACATGTATGTAGGCGTTATGTTTATTCTGACGATTTTTTTTTCCTCGTTTAATGTTTCAAGAAATTGATAAATAAATAATAAAGCGTAAGAATATTTGGGAAGCTATTTTTACACATCGCTTTTTCCGAAAGAAATTTCTTATTGAAGACGTTATTATCGCAATAAAATTGTGTCTCACGAAGGAAGCGGTAATAACTTTTCTTTAAAACAAAAGAAAGCGAAATTGTTGCCGGCCTATTTAGCACTACATTTTTTAGACCAACTTTTCGAAGATTTACCCACTTGTTTCTCACTTCTACTGTATCTTCTAGTTTACGATATTATTTTATGGTTGTATCAAAGTAACTTTGTTTCATTGCAATTATTATCCCGACATGGTGTCTTCCATTTTCTTTTTCTTTTCTTATTGTTTTACTTTTTATACCTGACACAGTATCTAGCTTTTAGTGTTTCTAGATGGTTTCTGTAATGTAATCAAGGTGCTAATCTTCGGCTTCATCTTCGACTTAAAGAGAGGCTCATCTTGCTTCTGCCATAAAAATACCTTCAAAAGATCTTTGAAAGAAGCTCAAGAACTTTGTTCAGCGAAATAACCTTGAAACTATAACTTTCTGGTTTAAATTTATTTTATATTGACTTTAAGATATGAAAGAAAATTGAAGCTATAGTAAAAACTGTGTATACGACATCTTCCTAGAGGTATTTTAACATAAAAGACTTTCTTCATCACGATACATTTAACTACGTTATTCTAAACAGAAAAATACACTGTATCAAGTAAAAGTGCTCCAAAAAGTTGTTACCTTCCGCTTCTCTTTCTTGAGTTTTGTTTACGAAAATGGCACTAACTTGGTTGTATTAATATCTTTGAATCACAGTTTTAAGACCAAAATATTTGTTATTACGCCTAGCTCTCGAACGCCACGTGACACAGGAAACGCGTCCTTCTAATATAATTGTGCTGATGAACTTAAAAGCAATAAAAATCTTTCTGTTTTAGGCCTACCTCTTGAACATTCCCAGCTGGAATTGGAAACGAGGAGACGATGTTATCTGTGTTTCTGAGCTGAAATTAGGATTTATTGCTCAGAGTTGTTTAGCACCCGGTTTCTCTACTATGATGTCAAACTTGTTTGCCATGCGATCCTACAAAACTGTGAGTGTGTTTTTCCGCTTCATTCATTGAAAAGCTTACAGTATGTTTAGAAGTATAGGTGAAGATAGCAGTTCAAGATTCAATTATAAAATCAAGATTTGTTATAATATTTATTGTTCATGATTGGACGTATTTTCTCTTTTTTTTTAATATTATAATGATTTTTGTCTTCAGTGGTCTATTTTTTTATGTTGTAGGAATTGGAGATGGCCACCATACTGCTTTATGATCATGCACACCAAACGAAACTATACAAAGTCTATCACAGAGTCACGTGCATTTATTTTTGAATTTAGTTAGTAAACGATGTATAAACATTAAATTTTACATGTTGGTTTGAATATAACTTAAAACATTTTAGAACACCTTCTAGTAGTTGATTTTCATAAAATTTTATCTGCACGGTATCATAGTTTTCATTAACAATTGCGTGCAGATGGCGGGCATTTTTCTTTCAAATTCTATGACAAATTACTGATTTATAGTGTCTCGTGCATTCTTTTTTTTTCGCTTTGTATACTGTTTTTCAATTCTGTTAAAGTACTGTTTTTCACACAATGAATTGATAAATTTTAATAGACTATTTCTGTGTGAATATCTCATTAAATGAGCGTACGTGGCTGTCGTCTTGGTGGTCAACTGTTTGATGGAATAACTGTTCGTGGAACTAAATCATGAATAATTCTCTATTAACTCTTAGTAACTAGGTGAAAACTGTGTTTATTTTAATGAATATTTACACTCTCCAATGTATAAGAACAAAACTTTCACGTTTTCACTTCAAAATATTTCATTTCATAAAGTATTTTACTTTGAAATCGTTGCTGAAAAGTGAAAGCAGTGTTACTGTAATAAAGCATTTTGTGATTATCACACCATTGTAGCTGAATTTTCCAGGCTACCAACTTCAAACAAGAGGAAATCCTCAATACCCGCAGCACTTGAAATTCTTTTAGGGAGGATTAGAGTGAATTAATCTATGAGACCTTTTTTATTTCCTTTTTATTAGCTATATTTTTGTGAACCAGCAATACCAAACGTGGGGCACTCGTATACCTGATTCGATTTTATTACTCATCAGGATCTCTACCAGCCTACACTTAAATTTAAATTATTTTAGGCACGATTAGAATAAATTTATTTATGAGACCTTGGGCGTGGTTAAATACATATATCTAAAGGGTT